TACTTTTATTCACAATTTTTGGGTTTACAGGCACTTCATGATGCTAATATTTCAGAATTCGAAATATTTCTTAAAATGCTTTTACCGCTCAAGATGTATCGTCTTGAAAATAAAGATAATTTAAAAGAATTGGTTAATGTATTAATCAATTCAATCGCTACAGGAGATGAGGAGTTTGATGTATGGATTTTCAAGCTTCCTTCTATGAAAGATAACTTTGATAAATGAAATGCTAACATACATTTCTTTTGTAGCCTACAGATAATAACAAAGTTCAAAAGCTTTTATTATGTGGAAAAACTCTTATTCAATATTTTGAGGTAAAAAAGTAATGTTATGAATTTCTGAATGCATAAAAAATATCTAATTTAATTTGAAATAATGGGATAGAAAGGTGTAAAGAGTACATCATTCCTTGCTTTCCTTGTGGACAAAATCTTACCCAAAAAGACATATTCCAGGTTACAAGAACGACACCAGAAAATGGTTTTAAGATTTTTGGCAGAATGTATTAGCGGAAAGCACACTGAAACGACGATCAAAAATGCTGCACCATTAGTAAAGGAGTTATTTATTGTATGTATTAGTATATTTATGAAAATTTTTATCCTTTGCGTTTATCTACAGATATGATTAAAATAGATTGAAATACCACCTCCTGGAGATGATACTGAAGCAGAGCCAAAATTGGATCTGCCGAGGGTCGAATATATTGTTTTTACTTTATATTGCATTGCTTCTAAGGTATGTACTTGTATAAATATACATGTGATTATTACTATTTTATATGTAATCTCATTAAGATAAGTTATATTAAACAAAACTAGATTCCAGAAATGGTAGAAGGACAGGAAATGATTTCACGGTTTGTTATCTTATTTTATATTAAGGCGGTCATAAAGTGAAATTTTGTTATATAAAGTCAGTGTAATGAAAGATTACACTATTTTTAGGTTCCGGAACCTTTATGCTGTTGCTATAAAATGCATCTCACGTATTAAACAAGGATTGAAAGATTTACAAAAGCGTGAGTTAAAGGATCAAGAGACAATGGAGGTTGATATTGTACTTTACTAATGCGATGTAAATTATTTTAAATTTATGCTGTATTAATATTAATTATGATTCAATTTTTGAATATTTAAGAAAATTAAGAAGGCAGAGAGTGGTCAAATAGTAACGAATAACATATTAACAATGATAAAGGTAGATAAATTTGCTCGTTATTTGACTTAACAAATAATTTATTAATTTTTTTTATTTATTTTTGCATCAGGAGTTAATGAAGCCCGTAAAAGCTAGACATTTCACCAAGATAGCACATTCTTGGAGTACATCGCCACCAAATACAGCGGTAGCACCCACACTGACGCCAGTAAAACGAACAGTTGATGGTGGTTCTTCAACAGAGGCTTCAATGAATAAAAAACAGTTGTTAGAAAATTCACGACCTCAAATGGTCCAGAAGACCAATTCATCTCAATATACAAAATCTTTACGCAACAACAGAAGTAACGGTGGTGGTGATGGAAGATCTAAGATTGACAGAAACAGTGTTCAGAATAATCAAGCAAATTTATACGTTCCACCGTCTAGAAGAGGTATGTGAGATGCATTATCCATTAATTTCATTAATTTAGCTTATGTTATTGTAAATCATAATATGCGAAATACGATATGATTGATAACTTCCTATTTTAGAATCAGCTAAAAACTAAATTATTTATTAATTGATAATTAAAATTAAGTGAACCATATGTATTATGTTACCCTAGCTTTAAACAACTTCTAGTTTATTAATATAATTAAATAAATAAATAACACGTATTCGAAAATTTAGTACAATAGACATAGAATATTCTCATAAAATTAATGATTATTATTAATGATATATTCTAATATCCTTTTTATTTTAATTTTTTTAAAACTAGATTAAATCTATCACAATCAAAATAATAAATAGTCTCTATCAAGGATTAAGAAATAAGTATCTTGTTAGTCTTTTAACCGCATAATAATTAAAGAATATATTGTAAGTTAACTAAGATTAAATAAATTCTCCGTGTCGAAGATCCACAATTTCAATCGATGGTGTGGTGAACTCTTTCATTCTCTGCTGGATTTCTATGATCTGCGGGATTAGGTGTCGCTTCATAAATAGTTATGATCTGATCACTCTTTATCTGTACATATTCAAGGTTTGTGTGTAAGTTACAAGATCATACGACTTGCCTCTATGAAAGTTATCTATAATTGCTTTTTTTACACCTTCATAATTCGACATATATACACATATGATACATGACCCTGGGACTTCTTCCATACTCACCTCAGTCCATTCTCCTTTAAGCCCAATGTAAAAAATCCTCGTCACATCATCGCCAAAGTTTTCAGGAAAATAAAGAGATAAATTTCTTACATTGTACATTTTTGTCATCCTTATTATGTGTTAACAGATCAAGAATTATTTAATTAAAAAATACATGTCATTATTATTATTAATTAACATTATTAAAAATAAATCACCTTGTAATATATTCAATATTATCTTGGCTAGAAATTAATTCCCATTCCTGGGTTTCAGTGTAGGAATCAACGGTGTCAAAATCAATATCTTCGCGGTTAATATACCTGAATTGTCGATAAAATCAGTCATATATATGTACAGTATATATAATAGATAACGTAAAAACATACGCTTTCATTTTTGAGGGGCAGCTGTTTCCAGGACCAGATTTGATTGTAATTGATTTTAGTTTAACACTACCCGTAAAACTATTGAAAAATGTGTTTAAATAAAATTTCGTTAAGGATATTTAATCAAAAAAAAAAAAAAGGAAACCACACTAACGGGATGTATATAATTAATTGTTCGTCGCTATCACTTTCTACGAACTGACAAATATAAACGTGTAACTTGATTTTAATTTGCAAAGAGGTTTGCATTAATCATTAAACTATTAAATACAAGCCTTAGTTGTATCGTTTCTTTCGTGCCAAGGTTTTATGACGTTCTTTCCCGAACCTGGCTCACTTTCATTTAAACAACGCACATTATCCCGGTCTATACGTGAGTAAAGTGAAGTTTCACTTCCGCGATCTGGACCATCATGATCGTGTTCGTCTCCATGTTCGTGCTCATCGTGACAATGACTCATTTTCTATAAAATTATATAAAATTTGTAAAGTATGCTTGAATTTTCGCTTATTTATCATATGATTTAATATTAAACTATTAAATTTTTGTCGATCATTTTTATCATCATTAGTATCTTCAAAACGTTCTAACTATACATGCTGGCAAAACTCATGGGATTTGGGATTTGGCCATGGACAAACCCTATATTTGAAATCTTATAAGGAAAAACTGGACAAATCCCAATCCCAAATCCCATCCCAAATCCCAAAATCCCAAATCCCAACTCGATCCCGATCCCAAATCCTAATCTCGATCCCAAATCCCAAATTCCACCAAATCCCAAATCCCATCCCAAGTACCAAATCCCATCCCAAAATCATAAGGGAACCATGGGTATTATGGCGCGGGGGGGTATTGTGGCGCACTTATGTTTTTCGACGATATCTTGCGATCTACTGATCCGAATCGAATAATTTTAGTACCATTCGATTCGTCTTATCGAGACGAATCAAATGGTATAAAAATTGAATTATTTGGATCGATAGACCACAAGATAGATGTAAAATTCTAATAAAAATCCGTAATGTTTATCAAACTAACCCAAAAAATCGGTTACACGTGATTAACATCCAATAAGAAATGCGATAACTGTAAATTATCCCGGGCAGTGTTGGAAATTCAAAATAAAATTTATATTTACAAACAAGATTTTCTATGTTCACAAGATAAAAAACTTTACTTTTTTTAAAAAATGTATGTTCATATGAACACTGTGAACATAAAAGATCGATCAATTTTCAACACTGATCCCGGGTCATAAACATTTTTCATTAAATCGTTACATAAATTCATTCACTTATATTTCGTGTATAACATGACATATACCATATTTCAGTTTTGAGTATAAAAAAATTGTTGAGTTATTTTTTTGGAATGGGATAAATTATAACTTAAGTTTAAAAAATACTGAGAAAAATTTATCGATTTAACTTATATTAAAATTCACTCTTTTATTGTGATAAAAAAACTCTTGGCACTAATCGTGTTTGCTAACTTATATATCATTATGTGAAATAAACAAAAAGATTCATTTTTTAAACACGGCTTTTTTTGCTCGCAAACAATTGATTTTATATGCGCGTAATTACTTGCGAAAACAATACTTATGCGAAAACAATACCTATGCAGTATACCATTTTAGCAAATTACTAAAATTGCTTTAGTACGAATATAAAGTTTGCTATTTTTATAGCAAACTAGATCATTAATAGAGGTGTGAATTAATTTATAAATAAAATAATCGTGATAATAGTTATATAGAACAAAGAGTATATGTAATAAAGCAATTAGCGATTAAGACAAACGAAATTGTGATTTAAATAAAAAATCAAATCACATTTGTTTTGCTTTATAACTTATACTTTTTGTGTTCTACATAATTATGGTTATGATGATTTATTCTTGTAAATATAATCACGATTTTTTTATGTGATTATTACAAGAATAAATGATCGCGACGTCATACAATTAAAATTATCTAAAATTAATTGAAACCCAATTAATGGCGAATTAAATTAATTATATCGTTACAATACTCAAGTCTGACACAATAACTTAATATAATCTTGGTGAATATATGATACGTAGCCTAATTACATAAAAATCTAATTGTGCCTACGTCACCAATTAATTGAGTTCAAAAACGAAATATAACTTATAAATGCCCTAAATTTGTAATTAAAAAAAAAAAAAAGAAAAATTAATAAATTAATAAAATTAAATCAAAAAAAAAGAAAGAAAAAAACATAAAATGAGTTCTAAAATTGCGTCCAAATCAAAATCTACGTTGAAATCCAAAGTTACATCTAAATCCAAAAATACATCTAAATCCAAAATCGTGTCTAAACCCAAAACTGTAGTCAAACATACTATAACGAAATCAAAACCTAAACAAAAT